AGAAGAATAGGAGAATTTCCTACTCCTTACAGAAATCATTGGAGAAAACTGTTCTTGGACTTCACCCCAATTTCTCTCCAAACTTTGGCAAAAGAAAAAGAAAAGTGACTGCTTAAAAATACCTTAGAGGGAATTTGAATTACTGCAGTGCATTGGTTTTTTGTAGTGTTAAATTGCAAGTCTTCAAGATTGGTTAAGCTTCATAGGGCAAGTCAGAGTAGCAGTGTTCTTCATTCAGAAAGTGTCAAGTTGCATTAAGCACTGTGGAATCTCCTGCTATAGTGTAAGAAGCTGCTATGGTGCAAGTAATTATTTCAGTAGTGGAGAGAGTGTTTCTGTAGGACTGAGCATCCCCTGTTCTTTAGTTTATCAAATATTCATGAGTATAGGTACTTTTTAATTACAGTATTGTAAGTTTTATCATACTATGAATAATCTGTTTTCATGTAACATGAAGCTGCATTTTAATCCCCACTGTCTGTATGTCTTTGACAGACTACTTAAGTAAATTTTCAGGGAATTAATTTTTAATGTTTGTTTCATGTATTAACAGATATATGAAAACTTCTGTACATATTCATTCTGAGTTTACAACAAATTTTCTGAGTCTTGTTCTGTTCAGCTGTTTGCCTGCGCTAAATCACGTATATATACCCAACACAGTGGTTAGGAGGTGGGGAGGTAGGCAGGAATAGACCTTAGGCTGTCTGCAATGTAGCTTTTAACTTTGCTGATACTGGTGTTCAGAGCTTGGCTGACTGCTGCCAAGTCTGCACCTGCAGTGCTGCTTGATTGAAACTCTGCATGTATTCCTCTTAGTAAGAACAAATAAATAATATCTTCTGTTATTTACCAAACACCAGGATTACTTCAAAACCGCAAGCAGCAATCCTTCTTCTATGCTAATATTCTGTCACTTTTACCTAATGCACACAGGATTCTCGGGCTTAATTCCTCAACAGAATGCCATATTTTTTTCTATACTCTGAGGTTTGTCTTGCTATTTGGAACCCTTGCTCAAAATGCGTATCTGGTGCTTTGATTATGAATTGTCACATAAACAGTGATTGATTCAAGTAATTTACATGGAAGCATTCATGGTGTTTCTGAGCAAGGGAAAAAAACACAGAAGCACATGGCACTTAATTATGTTGCTTAACAATAAATGTCAAGTTAAAGCTTTTTTTAAAAAAGATGAATGATGTACTTAAGGAAAGCAAAATTATTTTTCTATGGTTTGAAATGTTTTGCTCTGTATATATTAGAACATTGAAGGTTTTAGCACTCTTAGACATCGGTGGAGGTGCTGACAGGTTACAGATGCTACAAGGCAGGCTTTTGTAACTGCTGTCTGCTTAATGCTTGCAAAAGAAACTCCTTTAGTGTAAAGTGCTGTTAAGCTGAGCTCACTTACTTGTATGCAAGGACGTTTGCATGCAGGCACACTTAGAACCATAGAACATGAGGACTGGTGATCCTGGGTTGATAAATTCTTGCATATAAACAGGATTTGCATTTGAATTTGTGTTTTACATCACAGCTTGATTATACATACCATTTTAATAATGTTGAAATAATGTCAGTAAGAGACTTCAGAATGCCACTCCTATGATTATATGTTGCAATTTTAAGTTAATTAAATGTCTCTTTTTGTCTGTTTTATGAGTATTAGGTAAAAGACTTGTATTTTTTTTCCTCCTTTAATAGTGTGTGCATTTCTATAATGAATAGTTACACCTTCCAAATTATATTCAGTAACGTGTTTAATAAAAGCCTGTCGTATTGCATTACTCCTGTGGGAGTGTTGGAGAAGAAACCGAACTCCAATGTTCATCACTTTCCTATTCTGCAGTAAGCCAAAGTCTGCAGAGTGAAATGTGGTGAGGTGCAGAATTCTCCAGCCTGCGTCTGAATAGATCCATACTGACTACAGGATATTGTTCACTGCCAGGCAAAAACACTAGCTTAGATCTTTTTAACAATTTTTTTTAAGAAAATTTTTGAATAAGGAGCAGTTTTCCAGTCCAGTTTGGCATTCAACTTCCAGCAGTTGTACTGATGCAATTCTAAGTTGTTTGGAGGATGATTCTGGTACATATTCAACATATGCATTTCTAGATATATTTCTTGTTTTGGTTTTGATCTAGCATGACAGGAGCCTGTCTTGCTGCTACTGTGTAAAGCAGCAAAATGTCCTTTACACTGCTGCTATATTGGTGTACTTTCTCCTTTTTTTTTTCTTGTCAGATTTATAGGAATTATCTTCATCAAATTGTTCTGCTATAATTTTTTCAATCCATTAATTTGAAGAAAATAAAGAAATAAGGTGATTTCAGTGTCATAAACTACTAAAGCATTATAATGTAATTGCCCTGTGTGTTAAGAGTATTTTTTCTGTTGCCTAGCAATGAGATTTACCATGAGTTTCACCATGTGCTTAAAATTCCATTGTTAACATCTGTTCACAGAGGTTTATAACTTGAACAAAAATCATTACTTATAATACAATCCAGGAAATTCTTGTTACAGGGTCACTTACTAAGTAAGGTTGAGGCAGATAACTGATACATTCAAATTTCTGTACTCTTTCTCCCACTCTACAAAGTGAATTTTGAAAACAGCTTATTCACTCATCCCTGGTAAAGGTGGTAAAGGTTGTCTTTTTTGTTTTGTTGTTGTTGGTTTGTTTGTTTGTTTGTTTTTACTATTTTGCAATATTCTTTGAGGTGATGCTTGAAGCTGAGCTTATGTAGTAAAGAACTAGAAACTGCTCAGTATCTAAGCTTTTCTACAACCTTATCTAGCTGGTTTTGGCAGACTAGGTAAGAGAGTCGGAATAATAGTTGGGATGGACAGTTGCATGTATTTCAGGACTGCATCTTGCTGCAAGGCAGAAGGCAAAAAATGAGTTTATTTGAAGTTTCCACAGAAGGATTTAAGGAAGGAGAACATGATGAGTGGACTGGTAAATTTGGGCTTAACAAAGGATGCCAAGATCATGCATTATAAAGACACAAGGGGAAAAAAGTCATTTTGATGTAATCCTTTGTATGAACTAAACACTCACTACTTTATTGTTCAAAATAGCTGTGATTATTGTGAAGGCTCTATTCCTGTATATTTAAGTATGCACCTTTTTATGGCAGATGTGTTTAGCTGAAGATCTTAAAGGACTTTGACTTTTCTCTTGCTGTAAGCTACTGCTGTTTTATAGCATCTGTATCAATAACCTTTCAATTTGTCACCTTTGTAATAGTTAATTTTTGATTAAGAAACATAGAAATTTAAATTTCATGCCTTCATGTGAGCAGAGTTAATTTTATCTGGAAAAGGAGACATCTTCAAGCACTGCTACGTAATTAATATTGCTAATTAAAAAACAAGATAAAAACAAGTAAAAATGATACATATTTAAAATAACCTGGCTTCTGTATCTCATGCTTATGTTTAGGGTGTACACTTCTGCACATAAGTGAGATTTTCCTTGGAATTATAATCTTGATATGATTATGAATGTTAATTATTTAAGAAATCTGCTCAGCACAGGTCACTTTCACTGACAAAATATTTATAGTATTATAATATAGATCAGAATATGCAGTGTTAGCTGTGGTTTAAAAAGTAGCTGTTTAGCTAGAAATGGTCTTCGGCACTATTTAATGTTCCTGCAGTGTTTGTAAAGGAAACGAGGAAAGGGAGGAGGGCCTGATATCAATTCAGAGTCCTAATTTAGATGCCGAAAGTAAGATTTGGTAACTCACCTTACCCGCCCACCTTTTCCAGGAAGTGCTTTGAAATCTTCTGTCTTTATCAGTCAGCCACGAACCATTCTGTTTCTTGCTGGACTGCTACATTGTATTCGTGGGCTGGATTTAGCGTCATTTGTGCTTCTCCAGCATCTTCATCTGTACAAAGACTCAGTGAACATTCCCTTGAAAAAGTCTGACACTCCAGAACAATAACTGGCAACAGGCAAAAATGGCAATTGCTTTTGCAGTTCAGTTGACGCTAAGGAAATGTGCAAAATAAAAAAGATGAAATTCTATTTTTGTTTGGCATTTTCTTATTTAGTGGAGGTCGTAGACTGCATCTGTAGTTTGAATCATATACAGCATCTAATCACATTGTCTGTGTGGACAAGAAGAGTGAGGGGAGACATTTATGCATCTTCATTGTTTTTAATGTGGCTATGATTTCTAAAGCTTCCGTACTGCAGAGACAAAAGACCTCATATCACTATTGCTGGCTAGGAAGAGTATTAACCTACACTGTGTCAGAGTCAAATCGTGGGTGGTCTCTTGAGGTTTAGTTAGCCACTGGGAAATGTTTAGGCAAAGCATAGCTTGGCTTTACATAAAATGGAGTAGTACTATTTCCTTTCCTGGGTTAGGAGGGGCTTCATTGTTCAACAGCTCCCCTGCATTGGAGCTTACAGAGAATGAGCTTTAAAGTACCCAGTATTTCAAGGAGAGTTATTTAGCTCATCAGGAAGTCTGTACTGGTCAAGAACATAAATAATCACAGCAATTCCAGAATTTGAGCCTAGGACCTTTCATCACTTTCATTTGATGCCCCATTAGTCTTGATTTATTCTGTGATGTCTTATGTACATTGTAGATCTGTGTGTTATACCTGGTGACTTCGATTGAACAAATCATTTTTTTTAATAAACAGCTATTTTTCTTGTAAATAGCAGCACGTTCAGTACCATGCACCAGTTCTCCATGCATGAATAACTTCGCAGAAACAACCAAAAAAGGATTGTACATAATTTCAAAGAATTGATAAGTAGTAAGCAAAATTAGTCAAAAATTGATGGAAATAGTTCCTAAGCAGTATTTGTTTCACAACAAATGACACTGTCTCTGTATCATTCTTTGTGGTGTCCTTGGGTTTACCTGTTCTACATAGCATGTTTTATTTCAGTCCTTGTGTCCTTCAGAGTGCCTTAAATAAAAACCCTTCAAAACTCCAACGTATATTTTATCGTTTTCTTCTAGGTTGACTGGGGTCAACTGGACTATTTGGTAATTGATATGCCACCTGGGACTGGAGATGTACAGCTGTCAATCTCGCAGAATATTCCAATTGCAGGTATGTGCATCATAAGACTGTTTCTGAGATTTGAAATTAAGTCTGGTAGTGTTAGAGAAGTCATTTTTAATAATGATGGTAAAAATTCTGTTAATTGTTTTTATAGCACACTAAGTAACTATTGTGTCAGTAGTTTAGTGATGGGAAAAAGTACTGCCAGGGATTTTTAGCATGTCTATATTGAGATTGTGTTGCATTCTTTTGGGCTAGGTTTCATAAAGATTGAGAAGTCAACTATTTCAGTATTCTGGAAAGAAAGGCAGGTGTGTAGAAGACTGTTAAGGCTAATGCAGAAAAGTAGTTCCTTTGTCTCTAGCTGCTACATATTAATACAATAATATTGTTTTTCTTCATGATTGCTTTTTAATTAGAAGCTGGCAATGCTGTTAATGCACAGCATGTATTCAGTTAAACTGTGCAGCACTGTAATGCACTGATGCATTAATTTTCCTCTAGTGTTATGAATTTGAATTTTTGTAGGTGGTACAAGCTTTGACAAATCAGTCTTGAGATATATAGATTGCCTTCTAATCCCATTGGTGTAAGCAGGAGTTAGAAATACTGCTTATGAAAGGATCTGCTTAGCATCTCATGAGATCTAATAGAGTGTAATGGTCTTACCTGTCTGACATACTTCAACAAAAGCAATTGGTAGTAACCTGTCTAATGAATATTAAGAACTTAGTGGGATGAAGGGAGTCATTTTAAAATCAGGCAAATAGTATGTTTATCTTGTAAGGTGCAGTCTTGTGTGGTAATGATAGTTACTCATATATCTACAAGCTTGAATATCTGAAAACGTTACATCTAGTGCTAAAGCTATGTGATATCTCACAAGCTTCCATGACGTCAAGTTTAGAAAAACCTAAATGTTTTGACATATGAAACTCAAATGTTAATCTAGCTGCGATGCTGTTGCCCCCAAATTGTTAATTATCTCAGGGGATTTACTCTGCTCTCTGTGGTTGTGTTGAGTGGTGAAAGGTTACAAATCAACAGAATTGTGACAAAGGATTTAATGATTTTTTCAATTAAGAAGTGTGAGTCTTCTGTTGTTTTTGCTTATTTGCGACCTCAAATGTATGATGAGAAGAAAATCATGAGTCGAGCCCATTTTCTCAAAGAATCGTAGATATCGTGAGTTGGAAGGGACCCACAAACATCATTAAGACCAACTCTTGGTATTGGAACTTAGTGCACATTGCACACATAGGTCAGTACAAAATTAATGTCTCCTGTTTATCTCCATGGAAACTACAACAGCTACAAAGATCGTCACAATGACATTACTTGATAGAGCACATTCTCAGCTACCAAAGACTATTCTTCAACAGTCACCACCTTTAGAAATGCATTTTTGCCAGCTGTGAATAAGAGCCTGCATGCCACGCTCATACAGGTCTGCACTAGAGGAGGTGACCAGCTGTTACCAGTGCATAAATGCACCACCAACTGCTTCACTGTGCTCACATTCACTGCTTGGTCTCCATTAACATTCAGGAAGCATTGATGAGAATGTCAGTGGCTGTAGTTTTTTCCTCATGAAGTAATTCAGTTCCACACCTTTTCTTCACTTCCATGTTAGATGCCATTTTGTCAGAGTGCCCCTCTACTGCCATCTCTCGTACAGCAACAAAATGTAATGGAATGCTGGTGGTAATGTTCAGCTTCTGCTGCCATCCAATCAAAATTTGCCTGTAACGTCGTCAGCCAGCATAATAAAGTAGGCAATACTTTCAGAGTACTGGTAGCAGATCAGGAGGGCTTTTTACTATGAAGGTTTTTAGCAATGATGTAGTATAACAGTGGCACGAAGTTTTTGGTGAGGTAGAATTTCACTTTAAATCTTGTATGTAAAGGCAGTAAAACTATGAAATCCAAGAGGTGTACATTATGAGTTGTTTTAATATATGGTGTTATATTATTGATTGCTTTTCACTCACAAAGATATCAATAGATCCTTGATCTTCTTGAGATTTTATGCCGTTTTTCCCCAGAATTCTATACTTATGGAAGAGTGGTGTTAGAACTTGCTTTAGTCCTGCATTTCCTAGTTTTCTAAGTTGCGTTGAAGTATGTTTATGGAAGATCACAAGTCGTTTCTAATTGATACACTGCATCAGTAAATGGAAACCTTAATTTACATGAATTTTTTTTTTTCCTAATGGGGCTTCTCAGAAAGTAACAGATGTTTAAAAAAGATTTTTTTGCTGATAGCAATGTTCTTATTTTTGTGTGAGTGTAACAAATTGAAGAACTAAGAGTAAATATTTATTCATTTTTTTTAATTCAATATTTGAGTAAGTTTTCAGTTAAATACAGTTGTCATAAGCATGTGGTTTTCATACCTTTTCAATTTTGAGCTAAGTTGAAATAGACAAGATGTTGAATTAAGATAAAGGAAACTACTTTAAAACCAAGAACAAGCAGTACAGATTCTCTTTACATGCCATAAGGGAGAATAATTCCTTTCCCATGCCTCTTCAAACTATGAACTATAGGGTGTTTTTTAAATTTTAAAGACTGATTTGTTTGTTTGTTTTTTACAACCTCCTAGCTGAAGATTGCATGTTAAGTTCTAAAATCACATCCCTACCTCAGTTGCTCAGTTCATCTTGTTACTACTTCAATCTGAACTTCATCAAATTAGAAACGATGCCATCAGTTTACATTTGCATTTCAGTTTGGTTGGTGTAGTACAGCGTGTTAGCTGAGGTCAACTCTTTTACACTCAACTAGGGTACAAATAAGTCTATTGTGTTTTTGAGTAAGACAGGCATCACAGACAGTGATTAAGATTTATAAATCCATGTGTTCTAACATGGATTACAATTTAGCAATTTATATAGAATTTCCCCTGCTGTCTGTTGTGGGTATTTTTCATTCTTTTTGGAAGTGCTTCTTTTCTTGTATTACAAATTTGACTGTACTTTTTTTCTTTTTTACTCTGGTTAATTGGTTGCTGCAGATTCAAGGCTCCATAGCCTTGTTTAGCATATCTTTATTTCCTTCAGCATTTTTGCTTTCAAGGGTTCAGAAGATAGTGTCACAAATCTCAATGCTGATGTCTTTAGAGCAGCTTGCAGGATTCTGCTTTTTTTTTTCTTTTTTTTTTAATGAGCTCCATCTTCATTTGCAATTCATGTTTCCAAACAATGTGCTCTCTTTGTTTTGTTTATTTTTTAGTTTTGCAGAAAGTAGTTGTTGTGCTGTTCTGTTTCTGCTTCAGTTTTCTTGTTCTTTGTTATTCCTTTGAGAATACTTGGACAGTCATGGTATTAGCAGGATAATTTTTCTTTCCTCAGAGACAGTGTATATATCCTAGTTAAGTACATTCAGAAGTGCATTATCTAGTTTGCATGAAAGTTGTACTTTGATTTGCATGCATGCATATGTGAGATACAGTATTTGCATTATGTTTTCATTACTTGTCTGTGGCTTCCTAGGAACAGTGTAGGAAAAAAAAATATTTTCTCTAAATAAATTTACAGAACCTGCATGAATTTTTTTGCCAGTTACTTGACCAAGTTTTTCTGTGGGTGTGACAAAGAGCAATGGCAGAGGGGAGGGTTGTTCAGATGTGACATGTAAATCTGTAGCATTGCAACACTGGTCAATAAGAGATGAACCTATGGAATGTGTGGTAGGGTACTGTGTCTTAATGTTAGAATAACTTTTTATCCTGCGTCACAACTCCTGATATTTTCTTTGCAGAAAGGTTAGAGGCATACATAGTACAACAAAATATATATTTTAATTTTGATCATCGTTAAAGAGAATATCAGCCTCATGCAATTTCAGTTGAAATGGCAGCTTTGTGTGTGTGCAGTTATTCTTTAAAATATGACAACCCAGGTAACTATTGTGATTCTTTTTTTGTTTGTTTGTTTTATTATTCTTAGTCACCTTACAAGCAGTTATCTTATTTAGCATACTGTTCATTAATCACCTGTAGCTTTTCTCATGCTTGCATTCAATAAACTAGCAGATGAGAAATGATTACTTAGAAACATGGAAGATGTTTTTGTTTCACTCTGGCTTCTTTCTTCATATGCCAGTCTGTTTTCCACATAGAAATCCTAGATCAGCTTGGACAGAAAGGTTTTGTTTGTGACTTGTTGCTGCTTAATGCACGGGTAGGAGAAAGTACCTGTTGTAAAAGGATTCCTGTGCCCTGTTAACACAAGCACTTCTTCCTCCTTCAGAAGCTGAATTGTGGAAGCTGTTAACTGTGTTAGTCTGCCTGTTGACCATTCTTTATTAATGTTAAAGTGAAGTTAGTGTTAGTCAAATGTGGCAGCTTGACAGCTTTAGAGATGACACTGTCTCAATTGACATCTGGCTCTGGGTTAATATTGGAATTGTCATTTCATTTGCTAAACTTTCTCATAAGACCTTTTTTTTTTTTTTCTATGGACCTCAAGATGCCATGGCAGTGAAAGCCATTAGAAATATACAGCTGGTCAGTAGGAAGGGGGCTGAGGCAAACCAAGAATTTCACATCTTGCTGAACAGTCTTTTACTTGATACATTGGTGAATTTATACAGGAGACCTAATGGTAAAAGGCATTGTTTTATTTCAGTGCATTAATTTTGCAATCTTTCAAAAGTAACATTTTTTCTCCACACAAAGCATATGTTATTATAACAAGCTTATTATTAAAAGCTTTAAAAAGGCTGCTGTTGAAAGTTAGAGAAGATTATTAGTTGAGATAAGCAAAGTGAAAAGCAATGTGAATATTATTTTGTTTTGTTTCAGGTTCCATAAAAAAGAAGCATTGTCATTGCTAGCCATACAGGGAATGGCATCCATCACCTTTTACATTTTAAACCTATACAGCACACAGATCCCACCATTTTTTTGTTGCTTTATCCTGCAAATTGTGTTGTTTTCCTAATGACTGCAGTTTTTCACCAATACCCAGATCTTAATCAACTCCTGAATGTTGTCTTTGGATATTTACTGAATGTTTACCAAAGGAATTTTATGACAAAAAGGA